GCCACTTCCTTCCTTCCTTCCTCAGGAGGAGCTGGAATATCCCTGCCAGGGGGAAGGTGACCCTCCATGACTCCAGTGTTCTTTGGATCACAGGTGATTTATCCAAGGTCACGCGCTGACTTTGGGGATGAGCCGGCTGTGAAACCCTGTCTCTTGCAGAAGAATCACATCAAGATGCTCAAACTTTGGGGTCTGAGTCTCTTGGAGGTCGAGGGTTAAATCCAGAGCAGCCGCAGATCCCAGGAGATCCCATCCTTGCCTTTGCCCCCTCAGGCTCCCAGAGCAGCTCATCCCAACGCCAGAGTGGTTTCTCGGGGTGGAAAACCTTCGGTGGACCCCCCAAAATCTCATCCCCACCCGAGCAAGGAGGGTTGGGCATGAGCTGACACGGAGCCGGCAGGATGCAATTTTTAGCTGGGGCGTTATGCAACCCGGGAGAAGGGATGACTAATGTGCAAAAAGCTCCTCTAAAACAACTGAGCCCCGAAAGGGAGATGGAGGGATTTCAGTGGGAGGCACCAAACTGCTGAAAAACCCATCGCATCTTCTCCCTCTTCCTCCCCGCCTTCTTCTGAGCAGGATTTGGGGGATGCAGGAGGAGAAAACAGCTTGTTGTTATTTTTAGGCGGGGTCTGGGTTGGTTTTGGGGGCGAGTTAGCACGGGTTAATCCCCAGGTAAGATTAGAAGAGGAGCTGTAGTGGATCACAGCAGACCTGTAAATATCTCTGGAGCCCAGGTTTTTATCTCAAACAGTGGCCAAAATTGGCTGCCTGGAGAATAGGACAAGAATAGAGCACGAATACGATACTTCCCCTGAATATCCTCGCAGGGCTTATCTGTGTTTAGGGATCTGGTAGGAGCTCACGTTCCAGCCCAGGCAAAAGGCAGCGAGAGAAAGCCAAGCTGTTGGATTTATTCCTGAGAAACTGGATAAATCCACAGGAGCCCAACTGCCCCTGGCCAAGCCCTGAAATGGCATTAAAAAACCCCAAACATCAGGGGGTGTGCAGGCACACGGCAGCACGGGGAGGAGACGTTCCCTGGGGATGGGATGGGAGTGCTGGGTGGGATGATGGGATGAGCTGGAATACAGGGAGGAGCACTGGGAGTGTTGTAGGAATGTGTCCTCACCTGTGGACAGCGGGATGCCCGGCAGGGAGGGACCACACAAAGCCTTTAGTGCCCCGTGTCCCTCTCCCCACCGTGGGACAGTGGGAACGGGACCAGAGCCCACGGAGCCATGGAACAGTTTGGGATGGAAGGGCCATGGGCAGGGACAGCTCCTGCTGGGCCAGGCTGCTCCAAGCTCTGTCCAGCCCGGAGCACTCCAGAGGTGCTGGGTGACGCCGGGCTGCATTCCTCACATTCCTCTGCCGGTGTCTGCCCGCTCTGGGACATGGATCAGAACCCTGGGACATGGATCAGCACTTTGGGACAAGGATCAGAACTCTGGGACATGGATCAGAACTTTGGGACATGGATCAGCACTTTGGGATATGGATCAGCACTTTGGGATATGGATCAGAACCCTGGGACAAGGATCAGAACTTTGGGATATGGATCAGAACTCTGGGACATGGATCAGAACTCTGGGACATGGATCAGAACCCTGGGACAAGGATCAGAACTTTGGGACAAGGATCAGAACCTTGGGACATGGATCAGAACTTTGGGACAAGGATCAGAACCCTGGGACAAGGATCAGAACCCTGGGACAAGGATCAATCCCCTGTGACCAGCCACCCCCATGCAAGGAGCCAAAGCAGAGCAGCATTTGGATCAGGGGGATCTGGGAGCAGTTCCCCACTCCAGCATCAACTCCTTCCTTCTCTTTTCCTCCTGGAAGACTCGGAGTCGGGCTCTGGGTGGAGGCTGCACCACGATCCCGGGTTGCTTGCGAAGTATTAATTTTTATTGTTGCAACAACTGCTCTGTTTCTCAGGAGATGCCGGAGAGAGCTGAGAAAATAGAAAGGCCTGTCAGGCAGCCGGGCAGGAGGTGAAGATGTCAAGAGAGTAATTGCTCTACCCAGAAGGAGCCTGTTCCTGGCTTCCCCAGCACTGCCAGGAAAAATCCTCGCTGCTTATTTGATGACAATAAAGAAAAACAGAAAATAAATAGCAACCCCATGGCTTGCCCGTGCTGACGAGGAACAGGGAGAGCAGAGGCAGATGCAAAATAGGATGCAGTTGAGCTTATAAATAGGAGCCTCCCAGCTCCCAGCCTGTTACTTCCTTACCTCCACCCGGGCAACTGAGCCTTATGTTTTACCCATGGAAAAGGTGGATGGAGGCTCAGGAAGGATTCTGTGAACTTCTGGGAGGAGGGTCACGCTTCCTCCTGTGTGGGACAGGCGAGGGCAGGGGATGCATCCTGGTGCCTGTGGAAAAGTAATCACAGAGTCAGGGAATTGGCACCTTAAATTCCATCCCACTCCTGCCATGGCAGGGACACTTCCACCATCCCAGGCTGCTCCAAGCCCATCCAGCCTGGCCTTGGACACTCCCAGGGATCCAGGGGCAGCCACAGCTGCTCTGGGCACGCTGTGCCAGGGCATCATCACCCTCACAGGGAAGAATTCCTTCCCAATATCCCATCCAGCCCTGCCCTCTGGCAGTGGGAAGCCGTTCTTCCTTCTCCAAAGTCCCTCTGCAGCTCTCCTGGAGCCCCAGGATCTCCCCAGAGCCTTCTCTTCCCCAGGTGAACCCCCCCAGCTCTTCAGCCTGGCTCCAGAGCAGAGGGGCTCCAGGTGCTCCTGATGCTGGGGGCAGCTCTGCCTGTGGGGTCTCCCCTGAGCAGGGCAGAATCCCCCTCTGCCCTGGGGGTTCTGGGTGCAGTGCTGGGCAATCCCCCAGCACCCCAAACCCTCCTCGGGCTGAGCAGGGTCAGTGCAGGGCTGACCCAGAGCTTGTGCTGGGTGTCGGGGATGTGAACTCCCCGTGAGGGGAAACCTGGGGCTGATGGCTCAGAGCAGCAAACCTCGGGGGTATTTGGGTATTTGGATATTTGGGGCTGTGCCAAGGCTCCTGCCTTGCCCAGG